TTATGTTATAATTTTCATTTTTTCCTTTTTGTTGACTTAATATTATTGTCTCAAAAACTTTTAAAATTTTTAGAGAAAAGGGTTTGTTTTTCAATTATAATTTATAATTTTTTTCCTTTTTATATTGACTTGATACCATGTGCATATCAGAAGCAATAGATTTGGAAAAAACTAAAATGATGTTCTAGTTTTCCCATTAAAATCTATATCAAGTTGTCATTATAGAACTAATTTGCTTTATTTTAGAATGTGAGAAACTAATTTGCTCATTTTTAAAGTGAGGGACACGAAATTGTTTTTTCCAATATGTTAGGGATAAAACAAGTCATTTTCCCTTGTCAAATTCACAATATCAAAATTTATCAAATTTCGTCACAGATTTCTCGAATAAAATATCTTGATTGAAGAAAAGATTCATGAGCCTTGCACCTGTTTAATTTATTATTAGACGGGTATTTATACATGAAAGAAAATATTGTTTGAATAGAACTGATGAGCCTTTGCCCGTGATTGTAAAGGTCAAAGAAATCAATATAAGCCAAATGTCATTTCAAGAAAAAAATACACATGAAAGGTATTAGCTAGTTTTGACTACCTTATCTTGGACAGAGAAAAGGATAAAAGAATAGTAATTTTGTGACTATTGAAGAAGCCACAATAGTTAATAGTAACATTGTTTATCCTAATGTAAATATGGTTGAATGTCAATTACTAATAATTTATTTTGTGATCAAATTAATCCTTTAGTTGAAGTATTAATTGATGCTTCTGTCTAAATCCGACATTTGTGAAATTCATGATTTGAATAAAATGTCATTAAATTCCACGACACATTCATCAAAATGAAACACCTTCATAAAAGATGCATACATGTGGGTAAAAAGTAAAAGAGTCTCTTATGTGTATAAGTGATTCTAATATGTGTGCTTATAAATGAAAGAGATTAACTGATTTAGTATACTTAATCTTCAATGAAGAAAAGAAAGATAAAAGTAAGATAACTTTATGGATATTATATAAACCACAATAGGTAAAAGGTATTTACATGACTATGTTTAAATTTCAACATTAATATTGTTCAATCTCAGGTTAGGTCCAGATAAAGTGAATTATTAATGAACCTTCTATCAAGTTCTCCATTAGACAAATTCGTGATTTAAGCCAAAATTTATTAAATTCCACTATACATCAATAAAAGTGAAACAACTCTATGAAAAAAATACACATCTTTGGACAAAAAACTCATGAGCCTTGCACCTGCCAAAAATATTGCTAAGAAAGGTATTTATACATGAAAAGAACTATCTAGCTTAAGATACCTAATCTTCATAGAAAAATGAAAAAGTTAAAGTAATTTTATGAATGATAAAGGAACCACAATAGTTAGAAATAACAATTTAAGTAGTGATTGAGGCACACTCAATGTGTGTCCACTTTGTGAAACATATGATATGGCCAAAAATATGATAGACTAAGAAACACACGAACTATAGTTGAGAAATATGCACATACACAATAGTCAAATCAAAAGAGGAAAAAGTGCAAAAGAACGAAGATTAGGATAAATTCTTTGGTAGAAAGCAAAAGATAACTTGAAATCATACTAATTTATGCAACAAATATACCGGGGGGAAAACTTATAAAAGAAAGTAAAATATAAACATATGATGGAAGTATAATGCACCTAATGCTCACCAGGAAAAGAATCTCAAGTTGGCAAAAAACAAAATGTCAAAGCATGGAAAGAAACCTACGAAAAGATTAAAAACAAAATCAAAGTATGAATTGAAATCTTAAAAAAAATTAAAAGACTCCAATGAACCCAAAAAAAATATTAGAAGAACATAAAAACAATGAACGAATTGAAACCTAAAATTTTAGACTACAATCCTTTTGCACATAGTTAGAATACTACAACCTTTCTTTCCCAAGTAGATTTAAAGCAAAAATCTTGATTATCTTAGTGTAGAGAGAAGTGCAGTAAAGTGTTTGAAATAACATTGGATAAGCATATATTGGCCATATAGGTTTCGATAAACATAGAGAAATCAAAGTAACCGTATCCACATTGTTAGGATGGAGATTTGATTTAGAAATTTGGATAAACATGGAGAAATCAAAGTAACTGTATCCATGTTAGGATGGAGTTTTAATATTTTTTTTTTAACTAGATTGTGGCCATTTTACCCTTAATAGTAAGAATAAAAATGGCAATTGAAAATGACACATTTTTTTAACACCAAACCATGCTCATGCTTTATATATAGAAAGATAATTATTATTACATGATTGTGTTTGAATATCAATTCTAATGCTCTTCACTCTCAAAGAGTTCAATCAAAAGGTGAATTATTAATTGATGTTTCTTTGTAAAAAATTTTTTGTCAAATTCATGATTTGAATGTAATATATAAAATTCAACTACAAATTCATCAAATGAAACATCTTGAGAAAGATTTATACATGGACCTAAAAAATGCAGGTCTTGTACGTGCATCACCTATCACTAAAAGGTATTTACAAATGAAAAGAAATTAGCTAGTTTGGTCTACCTAATGTCTAAAGAAGAAAAGAAAAAAAAAACGCAAGGCAATTTTATGAATATTAAGGGACCACAATAGGTAAAAGTAACAACTTTTTTTTATTTATATGAAATTGTTTAAATATTAGTTCTAATACTATTCAATCTTGGATCGAATTCAAGGTAAGGTGAATTGAGCCTCTATTTGGGTTGAGTAGTTCTAGAAAACTTTGATTTTCAATGTGCTTTCAGAAAATCCTTATATGGATGTTTTATTATTATTTTTGAAAATTTTGTGTGCCTTTGAAATCCACCTTTGATATGCTAGTCCCAATTCTATATTTTGTTTTCCCCAAGGATCTCACTTCTTGCCTGAATTTGACAAAAAGGCTAAAAAGTGCCAAATTAAGCCAAGGACAGTGACTTTGAGAAACTGTTGGATGGAAGGAGGTAGGCAGTGGCCAAATCCAGATTTTGAGAGGGTTTCTATATATGGTGGCATAAAGTGGTGAGAAGAGACAGGTTATGAGGGATAGATGATGGAAATTTTTGTTAGAACGGTGTTAAATTAGGACAAAAAATTTAACACATAAAAAAATGAGGCATAGAAAGTGGTGAGAAGAGACAAGTTTAAAAGCTCAAATTGGACTAAATTGGAAAGACTGTTCAATTCAACCGGTGACTATTGAATCAGAACGGTGTTAAATAAATCGATCAGTTCATTACCTAACTTAAATTAGGACAAAAAAGCTTAAAATTGGTGGATTAATATCATTAATGAAATCCCAAATTTAAATTCGACCAATAACCAATACATAATCGTCTCTACTCATTAGACAACAACATTTATGTTCTAATTATCTCGCTCGCTTTTTCTCTCGATCTCATAATTTCTTGTTAACTCTTGTTTAACATTTATACAAGTATAATATAGTATCTCTTTTAATTCTTTAAGATATTTTATGTTTTGTTATTGTATTTATTCGCTTTCATAACTTTCTTATAGACTATTATTCATAAAATTAGGACAAAAAATGCTTTGTATAGATACTTTATTTTTTATTCAATAAAAGTTATTTTTGAATCTCAAACAAACAATGGAGAGAAGATTATAAGGATGATTTAAGTGAATATTTTAATATGTAAGGTTTTAAAACCCATTCATTGAATCAGAAATCCTAGTGGATCAAGGGTTACAGATTCAACCATTAGGCTAATCGATATCGAGCCATTATTCACCTGTGACAGTACATTATTTTGATTACCATATGGACCACTAAAATGAATTCTATGATTTCATACTTGGTCATTGGGTGGCATTAACATATTTTGATTCATCACTAATGAAAAGTAATTTAGAAGCTGAAACAATAATACAACATAGATTATGTAATCCATAGTTACAATTACAACTCATCCAAAAGCAAAGCAGAGCAATAAACAAAGAAAAAGAAAAGCTAGGAACTAGAACTTTGTTAAAGATATGAAATGTTAATTATATAAAAATAAAAATATTTGTCAGCTCATAAATAAAAATTGGAACATCATATAAAAATTAAGGTACAAAGTAGATAATTTAAAAATGTTTCAATGGATAAAAAATAAGATATTGATTCAAATGTTCAAAAATTTTTAAACAATTTAGGGCTAAACTATAAATTTAAAAAGGTGAACTGACACAAAGCTAATATTAAAAAAAAATGGAATAGCTTTTAAACTTGAAAGTAAGTATAAGGAGTTGATAGTAAAAGACTAAAAGGTCACCTAGTAGTGTGCTTTTAGTGCAGTAGACGTTTCCTTAGCTGAAGGTGTTTTTTGATAAAAAAGAAAGGTAAGAATCGAGATGATAGAACCGTTCTGATAACCGTTTCGGAGCGATCATTTTACTGGTCCAACCAAATGAATTTATTGGTTTTAATAGTTTAGAACGGTTTTCTTGTACCTCCTACTCTCAATTTGAACCTTAATCCAACTCAAAAAAGAACTTAATTAATAGTTCAATTAGTTTGACCAGATGGTCAGGCTAATTTCTAAAGCCATTAAAATATGACTTATGAGAGTAAAATTTCAAATACATGCATATGTTAGATGTTTAATAAATTATGAATAGTATTTGTAACATATTTATAACCTCACGAGTTTAATCACGATCGGCTCAACAATTGAATCATTTATCCTTGATCGGAGATTTGTCCATATTAATGAATAGATACGATTAATTGCAATGCAAATAGACTCGATTAATGGCAATGGCAACCACGTATGTGAGTTAGAAAAATTATTTCTTCCTCCTTTTAGAAAAACTCTCTAGTCAAAACTTGGATTTCTAGCGAGAGTTTTATGTGGTTTTTTATTTTTCTTTTATTAAATCTAAGCTTTTTCAGGTTTTGATTATAATGTAGATTTTTCTGGATTTATTCAACAAATCTCACCATTACGTGGTTTTCTTTTTCAGGTTGTGATTATGATCTTGAATTTTTTGAATCTATTCGGTTGATTATCTGCATAGATGTTGGTAGAGTTACAATTATTTTATCTCATTTTTTAAAAATATTTTATGATATGTTATGAAAAAAAAAATGCGACGCTCAACGCATAGTTTTTTACCGTTCCTACGCCTCCCAAGACCCTTCCCTGCAAATTCCTTGTTCCTGGGGTTAAATTTATCAGGCGCGTCTACGGAAAACCCTTCAAATTCCTTGACCCATTTTGTGAATTGAAGTCCTCTGCAGCCTTTAAAAAGCCAAGCAAATTAATGGGGTTGCCAAGATTTACCCGTCCCAAAGGAGGGGATACTGATCGTACTAGTCCAAATTTATATGTAGCCAACTGTGGACCTGCTGTTGGGCTCTCCTTCGATCTAATTGCTTCAGTTTTTAGCAAATATGGCGAAGTAAAGGGTGTCTATGCAGCTGATGAGAGTGGGACTCGAGTTATTGTTTGTTTTGACGGTGACAACTCTGCAAAGTCTGCAATGGAGGCATTGCATGAAAACTCGTGTTCTCAACTGGGTGGTCGCTCTTTACATATTCGATATTCAGTACAATCAAGTGACCAAGTAATAAATTTTCAAATCTTTACCTTTTTTTTGCAATTTTTGCAAATTTTTTCATTTGGATTTATGATTTAGAGGGTTATTGTAATATTATGGTGATGGAAATTTGGAAATGTATTTGTTTGAAAGAGTGAATTGTTGAGATTGTGGAAACTGAAAAAGAAAAAGGGTAGGTTGCTAAAAGAGGAAAAAATATCAAAATAATTTATTCTTCTGTGGAAATCAACGTGACAGTCTTTCACAAATTTTATGTGCTCTTTTTCATTGTTTGAGATGCTTGTTTTAGCTGTTTTTAAGTTTCTTGTATAGTTCAGAAAACCAAATAACAGAGAAATACTTTAAGAAATAACAGTGCTTTTGTTTTGGTAGCAGAGTTCCCATTGGCTTAAGGTTGCATATGCTAAGTTTGAACTTGTGCTAGTGTTGTTTGACTAACTACCATATCCTTCTTTAACATAATCATTGAATTTGAGTTTCTGTATTTGATACTCTTGTTGAATCTGTCTGTCCTATTTAGATTCAGGTGAAGGACTTAGTTCAAGTTTCTTTGACGGATTCTGAGTTGAAAGTTCCAGGCGTCTATTTATTGCATGACTTCATCACTGTTAGAGAAGAGGAGGTAAAAGTTATTTCTGTTTTAGGCTATGTGAAAAGCAGCATTTAGTATGTTGATATTATTCACAAATTGTTGTACCCTGTTGTCAAAATTCATTATGAGCGTTTGTGAGTTATATGCTAAATTTCGATGTTATGTGCCAGGAATTACTTGCAGCGGTTGATAGTAGGCCTTGGCACCATCTTGCTAAAAGAAGGGTTCAGCACTATGGATATGCATTTTGTTATGAGGTGAGTTCTCCAGCATTTGCTATGAGCTTTCAGCATATTTTTATTTCTGAATTTTGTTTCATTATTCTAGCATGAGGTGTATTGTTTATGTGACCTTATCTTTGTTTTACTTGAAAATATTTTTTCTGGGTTATAGCTTGATCCCTAGTCTCTCTCTTTTAAGTTTCCATTTCCTGGTAGTGTTATTTGAAAGAAAGTAAGTTGGAGCTTTGCACATTTCATATAATTATTTTGGTCATCTTCAATGCCCTATTAAGCAACCAACTTGAAGTGTGTTTTCAGCTTTGGGGCATTTTTTCGATGCTAAGAAGAGAAAGGGACATCTGTTCTGAGTTCGTCTTTGCTCCCATCGTTGCAATATAATAATGCGACAAATTTATGGTCGTTTGAGGATCAGGGTCTTAGGTGAATTTTAGGATAGGGGATGGTTATGCCTTGTTTAGAGTTTTATGTTTTTGGTGTGACTTGGGTATTGAGAAGCTTGTATTATGGTTCTTATTGAGTAATAAGCATTCTAGGCTCTTATTATATGCAAAAGTAATTGTGGTATATTTGGTCATCCATTATAAGACATCAAAAGTCTTCTTCAGGATTAAACAATGTTGATTGTTATAATGAATTTGCCAGTGTTCAAAAACATTGAGTTGGTTGAGCTTTAAACTGACAGGATGGACTATCCAATTCTCCTTTGATATTTGAAAGGTAAAATTGAACAAGTATTTTATGGATTGTCAGGTCTGTACTTTTGGGTAATTTGATTTGAATTCTGCTTTGTGTTCTTTAACATCGATGTATAAGACATCAAAAGTCTTCTTCAGGATTAAACAATGTTGATTGTTATAATGAATTCGGTAGTGTTCAAAAACATGAGTTGGTCAAGCTTTAAACTGACAGGATGGACTGTCCAATTCTCATTTGATATTTGAAAGGTAAAATTAAACAAGTATTTTCTGGATTGTCAGGTCTGTACTTTTGGGTAATTTGATTTGAATTGAGCTTAGCGTTCTTTAACATTGTCAGTTTTCAACTATCCAGTTGGTAGGGTTGTAAAAGTGATAGGATGGTGGTGGTCAATCCGACTCTTGGATGTTTATGTGGTGAAAATAAAAGGTATTTGCTAACGTTTCTAATCAATTGGTGAAATAGTTGTTGCATGATTATTGTAATATTCGACATATTTGACAAATTGTTGCAAATTGATTATCCGAAAGTGCAGCAAGTGGAACTTTTTATGCAAGAAATGGGTCTGTTAGACTAAAATTCTCCGAATAAGTTAGCACTTTTTCTAGGTTTAAAGAATTTGTTCCTACCCATGGTTAATGAGTTTTAAGATTGTAATTCTATTCTTAAACAGTAAAAGTACATAACATCAAGAAAAAGACATTCTTACCTCATAATCAATAACATTGTGCAAAGTACAATATTTGGTTCCAAATAAACATGATATTGACAAAGAACTGTAGGTTTAAATAGTATTACTGAATTTAAGTGAAATATCCACACACCTGATTATACAGATACCCGGTCCCTCAGAACAGCCTCTTCAACTCTCTCTCTCTCTCTCTCTCTCTCTCTCTCTCTCTCTCTCTCTCTCTCTCTCTCTAATGCTGAAGCTAATTTGGGAGTGAAGAAACTATTTGTGGAGTGAATTTTTCTGTTATCTAAATTATGTTACTTGACTGTTTTGATTTTTGGGCAATAGATATTTAAGCGGATCATTTTCGATTATGAAAATGAACTTGTCCTTGCACAATCGCTTTAGAAGGGTGATGTAAGGCTTGACTGCAGGAAAATTTAGAGGAATAAAAGTTAGATACAGAAGAGTGTCATTGTCCTACCTTACAGTTGTAGTTTTAAAAGGCACCAGAATTGTTACCATCCTCAAAACTTGACTCTTGTCTGTTGTCTCTTTGACTTTTAGTTCTTTTACCTCACAATATGATTGACTTCTATAACTACCATCAAACTGTTGTTTTCGTGATGTCTAAAATGCTGACAAACATACGTGGTTCTGAAAATGGCCTTTGCGAATGTTCTTATCTTCTGTTTGGACATCAAAATATCCATTCATGGATTTCTTTAATCTTATCTTTGTTATTTGGACTTATGAAGCTTACCTGGTCTGGGCCTCTCCTCCCAACTGTTATATCTGTAATGAAATATTGTGGGAAATTATTTTGACTTTTGCTTGTACTTACCAAATACTTGAATGTCTCACAAGCTTTTGTAGTTCTGCACTTATTTAAATCAGGGAAAACAGCAATAGCTTTGAACGACTTTAAACCTTCTAAAATCAATATCTCTATTTAAGCCCTCCACATTCAAGCAGTTCTAACAATTTTTTTTTGACAAGCTAAACGTGAATAGCAATGTTGGAAAGAACTCTGTAAATTCCTATTACAATTGTTTAGTTAGTATCTATTAAGAATAAGCGCATTGATAAGTTCAAGTCAATTAAGATAGCTCAACAAGGAAATGCTCTTTTTATCAGTAATTAGTTGGCATATTGATATTTTTGGCTTCCCTTTTGACCTTTCAAATTGTTAACTTGTGTAAGTTTTGTTCAGCTTTTGAAGTTAAGATTTTTTCCTTCTTTTTTGGAAGCTTAATTGAATTTTGTTATGGTTGATGGCATTGTTTGAAAATTGGAAGCATTAAGTTCTAAAATCAAGAAAAATTAATTGGAAGTGGAAAAATTAAAATGGACTTAGAACAAAAATGAGCCAACATCCAAAAAAAGGTAAATGGAATTCGAACTTCAAGTTGTTTATAAATAAGAGAAGTTAATCTGGGTACTGGTTTTAATGTTGCTCACAAACAACTCATTCAGAAATGGACTCCTGAAAATTTGTTAAGAAACTGATTCTTCATTTCATGTCATGGACCTTCTGATGTTTTAAAATCTGAAATAGGAATTTCACTTTTATTTTGGGATGCTTGGATTGCAAAAACTGTTATCCTTTTTAAAATTCTTTTTTTCCCTTGCGCTTTAGCATTTTTCATGGGGTTACTTGGTAATTAATCTCTTACTTCCTGTTGCAGACAAGAAATGTTAACACAAACCAGTACTTGGGCAAACTTCCCTCGTTTGTGTCTGTTATACTCAAAAGAATCTCACAGTTTCAAAAGCTTGGTTGCTCTGTGGATATAGAGTTGGACCAGCTAACAGTAAGTAACATATTTGTCATGTATATCCATTATGTGTACTGTTTAAAAATTTCCACATTCTTTTCTTTTATATGACTCTCATTGTTTACCTTGGCACAAAATGATCAGTTTGAATTTGATATTATGCAAACCAAAGATAAATATGGCTTACTGTAGGATCACACCTTTGTTCTTTTATTCTTTTTTTAATAGAAAATAACATTTGTACCTGGTGGAAGCATTCTGTCAATTAACCTTATATTATCCTAGAAAGAATTTTTCCATCAAAAGCATTCACTAAATTGCAGAAAATAATTAACAAGGATTGGACATTTTTCAATGGCTTGAATTAGAGAAGAAGGCCATTAAGTTTGGCAGTGGAAGAGGCGTTGATTCTAGGTGAGATTGATTATGATGTGACCACTGAAAAATTATGCAGTAGTTACCCAACCCTTCCTGCACCTCCTTCTGTAGCAATAGGTTTATGCTCTTGCTTTTTACTTCCCAAATTAACAAATATTGAAATTTGTTATACAGGTGAATGAATACCCAATTGGTGTGGGTTTGTCACCACATGTGGACACCCATTCAGCATTTGAAGAACCTATTTACAGCCTTTCACTAGCAGGGCCCTGCATCATGGAGTTTAGAAAATATTCAACAGGTGTTTGGCTTCCTACGTCTACCTCAAACTTTGATAACGAGGTGTCAGATTCTTATAGTGGCTCAAATTTCATAAGGAGAGCTATATATCTTCCTCCTCGGTCAATGCTATTGTTATCTGGGGAAGCACGGTATGCTTGGCATCACTACATTCCCCACCATAAGGTATGTTGTTTTGAAATCGTTTCACACAATTTTTGTCATTTAGTTCGCAAATGTTCTTCATTTGGAATAAATTTCTTTTAATGATGATGTAGTGTAGATTCGAAAGATTAAAAAGATAGATAAATGAATTTATTTCCTTCTACACTCCTTGCGTTTATTCTATATATTCACTACGATTAGCCTACATTTATCGAATTTGAAAAAGAGTCGGAAGAAATGGCTCAATCCTCTTATTTTAATTTCTCGAACCCAATCAAAATATCTATAGAATAAAATAAATTATTACTAGGATTTTGATACGTGTAGATATAGACTTCAACTTAATTTATTGATCATTAGATAGAATTCTATTAAGATATTGTATGAAAGTACAATTTCTTCTATTCTCTTTTGAGAATTGGAGTTGAGCTTGTTGGCTTCAGCAATTGGAAGTAATCTGGAAGTAGTTAACTGAAGATTTTGTTAGGCATGACTTGGACAAACAAAAGATTTTATTTTTTTAATTCCTTTACTAGCATCAGAATCATCTCATGCACAATCTATATAAAATTTTTTACTGAGTTTTGTTATGCAACTGTGGAAGGTAGGTAGCTCCTGTCTCTATATGTGTGTGTCTGTACGCACTTACGTATATGCATCTAGACATACACAGACGCGCACATATATGCAACATATTTGTATATGTTTTTTGCGTTTATTATGCATATGTATGTATGATATATGCATTTATATGTGTGTGTGTGTTTTATATCTATGTTGTGTACATCTATCTATGTATCTAGCTATGAGTGTGTGTGTGAATATTTTGTGACGGAAGATTAGGTAGTTGAGAAGGTTTTTAATGATGTACGTGTGGCAGATGGTATTCTGGAGAAAAGAGGGGAGAGTATTGAATGATATACATATAGAGAATAGTACTCTAAGAGAGGGGAACTTGCAGCTCTTGTATATGGTTTCTGAGGAGAGAACATTGGAGAGCCTGCAGAGATTTTGAGAAGCATGATTATTGAAGAGAAGAATCTAATATGGTTGATCGAGCTAGTAATCCCCTTGATTCTTTCCGCTGGATTTTTCTCATGACAATCTTCATGAGGTTTAGGATGGAAAAATTGATGTACAGAAAGGCAATGGTTAAAGTGAAATATGGCACAAAAAATTGATTAGCAATGCCATGTAATGATACAAATCTCTGACTTGTGGACCATGTAGTTTTTGGTAAATTTTAGTCAGACAGGTTGTGGGATCTGAAGGATTAATTATTAAGTAGAAAATGGAGAGGGTGGGGAGGAAGTAAAAGGCTAACTTACTGCATGGGATGCCTACCAGTTTTCAGTTACATATTTCTGTCCGCCTTTGATAATCTTTTCCTCTTTTCAAGTATCCTCGTCTCTTTAGTGGAAATCAAGCAACTTTACCACTACATCAAGCTGCTTTTCCCTAGTTTTTCTTGTGGAAATGGACAAAAGTTAATTTCTGAGTTACCAACATTTGGAGCTGAAAAAATTGTTCAAAAGATTAGGTTTTGGACAATTAACTTCATCTTGTTAAAATGAGAGCCAGATAGAACTTCGTTGAAATGAAAAAGCAGTTAGATAATTTGTTAATGTCTATGCTCATTGGTTTCTTCCATCAGTTGGATCATTCGCAATTAGCTGATGCTTCTTTTTGGCCCACAAATTGATTAATCCTTGTTTGGTTTTCATGGTTTTGTTGCTTGGCCAAAATGATTATTGTAATAAAATATAAGTAGGAGCTTATTCTGGATCTTGGATGCCCCAACTTCTATTTTTATGGTTGTTTGCCCATTAAATCCTTGAAACCCATTTACATTAATAGTTAGGCCAAAGTTATATTGCATGTATATATTGTGAAAAAAATATGATCTGTATGGGTATGGTAATATGAACTTGTAATTTGGAAAGATGCTGGTTTACTGACATTTATTGGATTATATAGATTCCTAAGTCATGGATATTGTTATTAGCGGTGGACTACACTGAACATTGTAAAATAAGTGGTAAAACATGTATTTTGTAACTGATGTCTTTGGAAACCTGGTTCCACATTTTTAAAGCTACATTGCCCTCAAGATATAGCAGAGTATTACCTTATTCTCAAAGTTTTGACCTTTTCAATTTCTTTTGAAGTGCTTTAAATATTTAATGGAAATTGGAACATCTTTTCCTGACTTCTTTGCCACTGGAATTTTTTTTTTTAAATCTTAAAACAAGTGTTTATGTGTCAGGTTGACAGAGTGAAGGACAATGTGGTTAGAAGGGGCTCAAGGAGAGTGTCATTCACAATGCGCAAGGTACAGTTTCAGCCGGCTTGTTTTGCTCGTTTTAGTGTTGTCATCTTTTAGACTTTGCCCCGCCATATAAGAATATGCATTGGCGGCTCAATAAACCAAATGAATGCATGATAGTCCCTTTATTATCATTCTTTGAGAAATGATAAAGAACTGCTATGTATCCATGTTGGAATATGCAATCTATTCTCCCTTTCTTTCATTTCCTCTGAGTTCTATTTGCCTGTGGAATAGAGCTTGGTTACCAGAGATGCTGCCCAATCATGTTCAAGCTTTGTATAAATGACTTTACATAGGGCTAAGTATATGTCTTTGTATGACTACTTATGTCTGCTCGAGTTTGTATTTGTATGCAACACATATCATTGTTTTTTCTGGGAATAAATATTTATTCGAGTATCAATGTTTTCTGTTCTCAATAATTATTTGGTAGCATTGAGGGTAGAAATTGTTGAGAAGTTGCTGGGTAGAAAATGGTCTGCCTATTGATATTCCTCCTCTTGTATCACAGTTCTAATTATCCTTCTACATGTGATGCAGGTTAGAAAAGGACCTTGCCAATGTCAATACCCTGATTTCTGCGATTCTCAAAAATAGACGAGGATTTACTTCAAGAACCTTTGCAGACAGCGGGAAAGCATCTCTATCAAAAATAATAGCTGTAAGGCAATTGCTTTATTTTGAAACCAACCAGCCAAAATCAGGGCTTGAATTGTTAATCAGTAATTGGACGGACACTCCTTTTTCTAACATAATGCCAAGATGGACGTTCCAATTAGGACATGCTGTTCTAGATTCCTTTACTGGTTATCTTGCATAAGAAAAGATAGAAATGCTTGGCTGTATTTCACTACCATGCCAGATGCCCTCTCAGCACTGGTAGTACTGGTTAGTCTTTACTGGTTACTCCTCCCATTTACACAATGGCAAGATGGAGTTCCAATTACAAAGTGCCGTTCCAGATTGCCTGTACTGGTTATTCTTGCATAAGAAAAGAGAGATGCTTTTCAATGCTATACCAAATGCCCTCTCAGCACTGATAGTGTTGATATGCGCTAAGAATTGTGACGAATTATCTTTAACTCATAGAGTCATTCATAGGTCTTTAACTGGAAGTTTCCGTTTCCCTTGTAAGTTTTCTAGCTTCTTTTAATCTTTTTTGGCTCATTGCAATGTTTTCTTTGATATCTCAAGACTGAATGAAATTCCTAGCACGTCTATGTACACTACTGCTTTGCTCAATGCTCATTAGTGCCTTATAAGTGCATCATGAATGATCCACCTCATTTTTCCAGCTTAAACAACTGTGTTTCTTTTCTTAACAAAGGGAGCTGTGCACCACAGGAGATCCTGTGACACTAGCGGATAGACTAAATTGCCCAACACCATTTGCAGTGTAACATTCCCATGATCAGCGCAGAATAGGTCCAGAGTGGTTATGGTCTGCGGATTTAAGGTCCATAACCAACAAGCTAATGATTGATTAAAAATTTCCATGGAATAAAGGACATATGAACTAGAACATCTGAATTCACATTAGTTAGAAAATGGGTATATATGTTTAAAAATCTATTACGTAGGGGGGAAAGGAAAAACATGTCATTTCTTTCTCTTATTTGCCAGCTTCATATAATATTCAAAGCCTAGAGTGTTTCGTGCCCGAAGTCCATTACCCTCTCATTCCCATGAATGTACCGCAACCTTCATGTTCCTTCATGGATGCAGTAAGATGAGATGATTTTACGGATGAGGATGAACCTAGAGTGTTTTATGACCTTGTTAAACCATGACACGGTAATTGCATAAGCTAAGCTAGGACTGCTTAAGCAGTTTTCACTACATAGATGGTAATTGCTATGCGAGATACTATACAGTAACCATATCAATTCCTGCATAAAGTTGTCTGAATCATGTCGAAGTCCGCTGGATACAACCTTGGAGGCTCTGGGGGCCTGAACTAATGCCTCTGGATACAACTTTGGAGGCTCGGGGGACCCTGAACTAATGCCTGGAAGAAGATTCCAACTCGAGGCTTGGCCACAGGGCCCCCAACCGAAGAATGACAATTCGGGGAATTGGTCAGGTGACCTATTTACAAGGGGCACCGACGGTTGCAGATGCAATCGTCCCCAACGGTTTTAACCATTTTCAACAGCGGGTAACTTTGATTACACACGGCGTAACTTTGTTTGCATAATGTATAATTTTAGTACAAAATTTTACGGGCTCCACACACGGTGGGAAAATTGATGCACAACTTGTTATCTGGACCGTACAAAATTTTTTGGTCAAATCATGACCATTAACTGCTCAGTATGACCGCCCTGCTCCATTTCCATTCCAGTGACACTGGTTGATGTGACCTATGCCGTGATATGGATGGAAGCTTATATGTGGGGGCGCCAATCATTATGACGACCCACCTTCTTGTAAATAGCACTTACGCTTAGGTTATAAATACTGCATTTTACCCTCATTTTGAGGGGAACGGCAACAATTTTGCTCTCAGATTCCCGAATACATATTTACCTCAACTACTAACTTAAGCATCAAAGTGATACTAGGGGACGAACTTCACTCCTTTGTTATTTTCTGTTGTGTTCACGGGCAAACAGTTCGACTTCACCGAATCATGCCCACACAGAGGCCTTTCTTAGAAAAGTCTAGGTCTGTTTGGATTGTAATTTATTTGGGATTATTTGGGATATTTTTACTGTAGCACTTTTTGTGATGTGATGTATGTGAGATAAAAAGACATTGGGAAGATAAAAAGGTGTATTGGAAATTGTAAAGATGATGTAAGCAAATAAAATTGGGAAAATATGAAGCAATCCAAACAAACCATTTGATGCCAAATATGTATAAAGGGGAAGAAAGCGGAATTATGTATCTGTATTAAGTTGGTGCAACCAAGTACCAGCATGCTTGGCAACTCGGACAAATACTTAAATAACAAGGGGCTATAAATGGTGAACCAAATGCTTCACCTTTTTGGAGAGAGCATATAAAGGTCCATTATAGAGATGATAAGGATTTAGAAGGGGACTATTATTAAGTGAATTTTTTCTTTCCTCATGAATATTACTAAGTGGTTTAACATAGTGATTAACTCGTAGTTAACCATGCTTCAAGGAGAAAAGGAAAGGCAACTCACCTAAACCTCCCACAAAAGTCAAGTATTAAATATAAACTAGTTAGATCGATGAATAAGCAACTTAATCAAATTGTTAATCATGGTTTAGATAATAGTTAATTCATTTTTTCTAGATAAACAACCTAATATAGTTGATGAATAAGCAGTATCCTTCACAATTTCTTGTGTATTAGCAATTGTACCCCCATTTCCTTGAGTCTGAATTGTTTTTTTAATAGAAAAATATGATAATACCATTTCCTAAGGTTTAAACTTTCAAAATATTAAGTATCTGAGGTCTCATGTTATACAAAACATAATCTATGTATTTCATGATCTATCTATAGAAGCAATTTGTATATTTGCTAATTGCACAAGGCAATTTACTATTCATTTAACATTACATGAGGACAATTTGTGCTTAAGCCTAAAAAAAGAGACAAGGAGAGTGTGTTGTGAGTGAGTGGAAATCAGGGACTTTTTATAGGACAAAAGAGAGATGGTAAAATAGAGAATCAAAATAGGTGACATGACTCTCCTATTTACTTAAAAAAATTAGTAGGGAAAAAGTGGAATTTAAGAATTTGGAAGAGGAAAGGGGGATTTGATCCCAGAATCTCCAGTGTTTCTTCTTTACTTATTTATGTGTCACAAAGATTTCCTATTATGCAACATTAATTTGACAGAATTTTCACAACTAAGAGGAAAAAATGCAAAAAAAAAACCCAATAGGTCAATAGCTATAGGCAAAAAGAAAAACTACCCATACGACTAAGAAATTATAAGTTTCTTAAATTGGGCAAAAACGAAGATGATGATGAATGATGTTGATGCCAAAAAATAGTTCAATGATCTAAAGAAGATGACGGTAAAACTCTAATGATGACTTGAAAAAATGGGTAGGACTTTATCCCTAGGAAAATTCCAATACTTAAAATTTGTATTTTTGTAATGAGAGAGAGAGAGAGAGAGACTCTCCAAATATGAAATTCTAGAGAGATAATCAAACTTATTAAGAAATATACCTTCTTTTTATGGAGAGTTTTGGTGGGTCTCAATTTGGATCGAAAATGCACTTGTTATGGGCCAAAACCTTTCCTTCAAGTCTCAATCCAATAGGAATACATTCTCACTCTTATTGAGAGCTTCTCTCTCACCGTAGAGTTTTCCTCCTCCTTGTATTTTCAAGTTTCAAATTTTTAAACTCCAAAAATCCAAATTTCAAAAGTGTCAAAATGCCAACCTACAACAACAATACCCAACAACACAAGCTTTGAATTTTAGTATTTACTATCCGAATTCATTTACTAGCACATGTGTTATCTGAGACAAGCTTTAGGGTTCAGGAATGCTCATCCAGTTGGGACAGCTTGAGTCATAAAATGACCACTAATGACCACTTTTCTTTTGCTTAGCTTTTCTTCTTTCTTTTCTGCATTTTTCAAACACTCTGATCATAATTATCACTGAAAACATGCTTCCTTGATATTTAACCCGCAGGTTTAATCAAGTGTTTCATACATGGAAGGATCTATCAAGAAATACTATCAACCCAAGCAATGATCATGGCTGCTGAGATTACGTATGCATTCCAAAAGTTTGATCTATCAACAAAGGAGATATAGGGCATTGACTTGAGTCAGGATGATGTGGAAGCTAGCACTAAAGAATGCTGATTAAGTTTGGTTGGCAAGATCAATGGGGAAAAGTTGGCAAATTTTATCGGGATAAAAAGCTTCGCCAACCATGTTTGGGGATACCCAAGAAATCTGAGAATAACTGAGTTAGGGCCAAATTTATTGCAGTTCCACTTCATATCAGATGTTGACAAAAAGAAAACCTTAAATGGGAAACCTTCGATATTCGATAGCCAACTGCTGGTAATTAGAACATAGGGTGAAAGAATGGACTAGGAGGGATAAACGCGCTTCGTGCGATGAAAATGTAAAATGCCCTGCCCAATTTTGAAGCAATGAAAATTGTAATTTATGTAGAAAAGTATAGGCATTTCACAAGTTTAGATAGTTAGAGCCACTGTTTTACCAGTGTTTGGTAAGGAAAAAATTCCTATTAACCTGAAAAATGGAGTTACTGATTTTATTTGTGATATTTTTTATGTTCTTGGGCTACCTCATAATTTATTGAGCATGGGTCAATTGTCAGAAAAGAAATATGATATTTGCATCAAGGATGTTGTACTATTTTTGATATAAAAAAAAAATCTGGAATGGTTACCAGCATGTCAATGACTCCAAATCACTTATTTTCATTGAATTTGAATATTAAAAAATTTTCGTATCTAAATACAGTGATAGATGATAATAATTGACTGTGGCATATGAGATTTATGCATTTGAATTTTGACAGTTTGAGATTTTTATCTAGTAAAAGAATGGTTGATAGGCTGTCTAGTATCAGAAATCTTGACATAATTTGTGATATATGTATTTTGAAAAAGCAACACCGGAATGTTTGTCAGATAGGTGAATCCTAGAGAGCTAGAAGACCATTGAAAATTATTCATTTAGATTTGTACACTGTGGAGGTTGCTTCTAATAGTGGCTGTAGGTATTTTATTATTTTTATTAATAATTTTAGTAGAGAAACTTGGGTATATTTTTTGAAATAGAAATCTAATGCACATGAAACCTTTAAGATATTTAAGACTTTGTTGAGAAGCAAAATGGATGTCAGATTAAAATTTTGAGAACCGACATGGGCCAAGAATATTTTGTGTGTGATGATTTTCTTGAGAAAAATGGTATTCAACATCAATTGATTGCTAAGTACACTCCACAACAAAATGGAATGACAGAGAAGAAGAATAAAATAGTTATGGATATGGTGAGATGTCTGTTGAACTTGAAAAGTATACCAAAATCTTTTTGGACAGGGGCCGTGGTTTGTGTTGTATATTTGTTGAATAGGTGTCCCACTAGAAGTCTTCCCGATAAAATCGCTAGAAAAAGTTTAGAGTGGTAGATGACCATTTGTTGGCCATCTCACAGTATTTGGGTGCATTGCTTACTCTCATGTTCCTGATTAGTTGAGGAAGAAACTTGATTACAAGGGCGAGAATGTGTATTTATTGGCCATAGTGAAGTTTTGC